GCCCTATAACCCATAATTATATTATATAGAAATTAATTTGAATTTGATATCCCAATTTATGATATCATTAAGTGATAAGACATCATCTTGGTTAATAAATTATTATGAATGTGGCCTCAAATTAGCTTATTGTATTTAGGTTTAAAAATTTACTCTATATAGATTAAATAATAAAGGAAAAACATAACTATTGGTCCCTATAATTTTAACGTGTTTTGTATAATTAAGTCATTATAGCAAGTCCCTCTAATTTATCTCGTCTACAATATTAATCCACCTATTTTTTTAATGTCTAAAAGAATGATGAGATGGCATTAATGCTGTTAAATATGCTAATATGTGACTAACTCCATTAATATTTGTGATGAGGTAAAATTATGATTCAACAGATTAAAACATAAAGGCTAGATTATACATTTAATCCTTTAACTTTACATAAGATTTCATTTTAGTCCCTTAACTTTATAGTGTTTTTTTTAGTCCTTTAACCCTAGTACTTTTAGTTTTATCCTAATAAGTTTTTAGCTGAACTTTCACATATTAATAAAATATTTTCAAATGTTGATATATTAAGTTTATTTTTTAAAATAATAACGATTGACACAAAAAAAATCATTTGAAACTAATGATATTAGGGTTAAAGGACTAAAAAGATACTTTATAAAATTAAGGGACAAAATTGAACCTTTATATAAAGTTATGGGACTAAAAGTATACCTTAGGCAAACATAAAACATGAAATAGAATGGGATGGACAACATTGTTAATCTGTTAAATCATAATTCCACCTTAGGAAAAATTAATGAGATTAGTCACATATCAATATATTTAACACTGTTAGTGCCATCTTATTATGTTTTTAAACATATTAAAAAATATGTGAGGCGTAAGTTCCTATCTTCTTTTCCGAACTCAGGGTACTTCCGATCAAACCTTATCCATTCAGGAGAATCAGCTGGATGCAGAATCTTATCATCTTTAATCCTTCCATCTGCATGCCATGTTAAACTCTTTGCCTCTTGATGTATGCTAACACCTAAATCTTCAAATAATAGAAAAATACTACATTGCCTTCTTCGCACTCTTCCCATTTTGCTTATAACGTGATGTCTCACTCTTAGGACAGTGGGTTAGCTCTTCATATTCATTCCTAAACAAAATGCAATTGTTAGGGCAAGCATACATCTTCTTATAGCTCAGGCCAACTATGCACAACACCTTCTTTGCATCATATAGCCAACCCAAAAGCTTGTTATTCTTCTGTAGCATTAGTTTGATTAGAGAAAGCAAGCTTGAAAAACTTGTATCACTCCAACTATGCTTTCATGTTATACAATTCTAACACAGCGGACAATAAAGTGAACACAGTACAACCCTCGTATAAAGGTATCTCCGCATCAGTTTTCAACCTTTTTAACTTTTCTAGAAAATTCTCTAGTTCCTCTTCCATCGCATCAACCAATTTTTCAAGACAATCGGCAAAAGATGGTGGTGATGAACAACTTTCTATGTACCCTCAGCTACTATTATTCACATCTTCAGGTGTCTCTCCATACTTTACCCAACGCTTGTAACTTTAATCAATTTCATACTTAAACAAGTGAAGTTCGCATATTTCAGAAGAAACTGACTTCACATTACCACAACTTAAACAAGGACAAACAATTTGCCCATGATTTTTTGCATTGTTTACCACAAACTTAACAAATTCTGCCACCCCATCCCAATATTCTTTAGATAGGTGATAGACAAACATCTACTCCTTATTCATAATGCCCTTATTTAAGAAAGGTGGTAAAAATAGGAAAGCATTCAGTGAGTCATGAGTTTAATTACTTCAACAACTTCAACTATGCTTATATTTGTTCTTTTCAAGAGAAAAATTAAAATTAAAAAAAATTAGCAGCATAACGATTTCAAATGAATATTCCCTAGGCATTATGCCCTTTCTTTATACTATTTTAACCTGCAAAATTTTAAACTAATTCAAGAAACAAGATAGAAGTATAATTAAACTCCCTCCAGACCATAAAACAACTTTAACAATGGTCATATTTGCAAGACTAAAATTTTAAAAAAATTCGGCAGCATAATGGCAAAAAACTAAGCATTTCCCAGGCTTACTGCCCTTTTTTAACAAATTGAAAATAAAATAACAACAAATTCATATTAAAAATCACTCAATCAATCACATTTAACAATTGGTAGCAGACATAGAGCATTTTCATTCAACCAAAATACAAGCACATTGTATATGAAATCATCCTCACTTTAAATAATCATAACCCATTCAATCTATGTTTAAATAAAATACTCAAATTTTATATAATTTCTTAAAAAAAACTAACCTTTTTTTTTGTTTTGCCAATGTAACCCACGAACGTAACCATGGTTGAATGGAGATGAACCACGAACCTAGCAACTAGAATAGAAGAGGAAGATGAAGTTAGGAACAAAGAGAGGAAGAAGAAGAAGGAAGAGGAAGAGGAGCAAACGTATAATAGAGCACTTATGGGTTCGCACACCATGCAACAGAAGATGAAAATGACAATGAAGCAAGCGACGGCATTCCAACGACAGAATATGGAAGGGTTTGGTCAAAAATGTGGACTTGATGCTTGGGGAAGGGGATTCAACAATGGGTATTTGGTTTTGCAGAAAGAAATGAAGTTTTGAGCGTCTGAAGAGTAATGGCTTTGCAAGATGAAAAGTCAATTTAAATGATATTATTCAATGGTTCTGTTACAGAACCGTTGAAAATGTTTATTCAATTGTTCCTTAATAGAAACCGTTAAATATTATAAATGTTTATTCAACGGTTCTAATTAAGAAACCATTAAATAATAAGATGACATTATAAGGTGGTTTCTGAATCATTTACTCAACGATTGTTTATTTTAACAGTTGAATATTCTGATACTTTATTCAACGATTTCTTTTAGTGAATCATTGAATAATATTGTGAAGTCATCAGGCACTTTTTTGAGGAATTTACTCAACAATTTTTGTATTTAACTGTTGAATATATATATATATATATATATTTATTTATTCAACGGTCATTTTGCTATAACCATTGAATATAAGGTTTTTTATATACCTTATTTTTTAATAGTGTGTCTTACGTTTTGAACTCAGCTTAGTGAGAAGTCCTAGGTACTTTTCAAAACTATTGTCCTTCATTAATTCCACCTCGTCACATTTTATTTCATCCATACAAAATAAAGTTCTTACTTAGGAAGATTGAAGATTGCATATGAATTAAATTATACAACATATATAATTCTTTTTTTTTTTAACAGATACAACATATATAATTCAAATGGGCGTGTGGAAGTCCATTTCTAGAGTGAAAGACACCATTTAGCATATTTCCTTTTCGGACTACTTCAGCCGAAATGACTATCAAAGGCTTTAACTATTGGATTGATCCACATCTTTGAGTCAACGTTAGTTTCCATCTATCATAAGTGAATATTAACAAAATGTCGATCAAAAGCTTTAACTGTTGGATTGATCCACATTTTTGAGTCAATATTAATTTTCATATATCATAAGTGAATATTAAAGTGAGTAGACTAGCTCAACTTAAATTCAAAGCAAATGGAGAAGTTTAACTCCTATCCAACTATCACAGCCTAAATGGAGAAGTTTATGTGTTATGTGTTTGAATCCATACCAATTTTCAATCTTTTAAATCTAGTTCCCTACTATAACTACCTTCCTTTAAATCAAAAGATTGAGTCTGAAACTTAACAATCAAAAGGAACTACATAACACCACCAGAACTAAAAGGAACTATATAACAAGTTAACAACAACAACGTGAAAATAAATTTAATGAAATCTGCCTCTATACGTTAGTCTAGCTCAAAATGACCTATATAATAATTAGTTGGATTAGCAATTATAACAATTCAAATATCAAAACTGCATGCACCAATTAAAGATGAAAAGCGATGAAAGATGAAATGACAACAGTTCAAATGTTAGATCCAACAAATCAAAGTGACAATTAATAAGTTTGAACATCCATATGCTAATGGAGAAGTGAAGATGAAATGTGATGAAGAAAAGTAAAGATGAAAAGCGATGGATGACAAGGAACAAATGTGCGCCACTTTTGAAAAATTAATAACAGACTTGTCAAGGCAGCATCATGCAAGGCGATGCTAGCGAGGAGGGAAGCGACGCCAACGAGCACGATAATGTTTTTTTTTTATTTTTATCATAAACAAAATTACATCATTTGCCATTAATGAAAAGAATTCTCTTTTTTGTTTCCCACTTTTTACCTTTAACACTTAAAAAACAGGAATAGAAACCAGCGTTTAAAATTATTTTTGTTTTCTTGTATTTAAAAAAAATAAAAACTGTTTTCAAAACAAAAATTAAAAGACCATTAGCGAAAGTGTTTTTGTTTTAAAAATATTAAAATAATTTTCTTTTTTCAAAAAGAGAAAAGAAACAAGCTCTTAAATACTTAATTTGCAACTAACACCATATATAGATTAATTATCTGAATCAATATTTAAGTAACTTTTCGTTTAGTAAAATCTTTAGGACCTAATGCGTCATGCACCGTTAGAGAAAAGAAACTTAAACGAGAGCCATCCAATAGTCAAAGTCGAGATTTATTTATTTACTTCCTAGCAAGAAAATTCCATTATGAAGTACTGAGAAAGGAAGAGTAGATTCTGAAGCAAGAAGAAATATAAACTGAACTACCAAAGGTAACAAATTTGGAGTGCTACCAAAAACTCATCGTCAGCAACAAAATAAAGATCAAAGCCCCACAAAACTCAAGAATCCACTACTAAACCATTAAAGCAAGCCGACTAAATGCTATATTAAAAAGAAAAACCAAGAGCTGCTTTAAGCTGACGTTAATATAAAAAAGATAGAACTTTTGATCTATTAATAATTAATAGATTAAAAGTTCTATCTATTAATTTGATCTATTAATTTCTTATTACAGATTGTGTTTAGCCTACCATGAAAGCAAAATCACCATTGCTATGACAAACTAGTTTTGGCTCTAACAACCCCATATTTGGGTCCAACTATTGCTGTTTTAAGCTGAGCAACCACTCTTTCAAGGTACTCAATCCGAGTTTCAAGATCAGACAAATATATATTACCATTCTCTCCAAATTTACCTTCTTTGGCTCTTCCAGAATTGTCAATCACATTCTCCATTTTTGCATCTACCTTTCCTCTTTTTGATTGCCCAACCACATTCATATTCTCACCAGTTGTCACATTTTCAGCTCCATCCACAATTGAAATGTGATCAGTTTCTTGAGGATGAGATCTCTTCTGCAGTTTTGCAATTGCTGAACCTTGATCTTGATCAGAATTATTCCCTGTTTGACCTCTATGAAGAGGAGATCCCATCTCAGGTGAAGTTTGTGACAGTTTTTCTGAGAACTTTATAGGCTTAGAGATCAAACCATGTTGCTCGCTAGATCCAAGTTTTGATTGCTTCCACCATTCCAAGTACTTATAAGTAACACTTGGCTCCAAGGTAGATGATGCTGCAACAGCAGAAATACACAACATTGCCTCTGTCATTGGGCTATCATAGTTTCTCCAAGCAATCTCAGGATTGTTCTCCTCGCAATGAGCCACCTTCTCTGGAATGTCCTGATCCAACCCAAATTGCATGGCCACACGGTGTGGAAGGTACAGCTCCATACAGTCTATACCCACCAACTGAGAATGCCTGAGGCAGCGAGCAAAAGACTCTAAATCCTCTTGAGAATCTGAATTATTGAAGCATACCCAACCATCCTTTTCATTGTATAGCTTTGGAGAATCTTTATATGGCTGCCAAAGAAAGCTTTTTGCAGAAGAGTCTAGAGCTAAACTCACATCTCCACAGTTCAGCAATTTCACTTTGTGCCATTTTGCTGTCAAAGGTTGGGCATACTCAATTATGTTAGACTTTAGATGAAACGCTGGGAATCTCTCAAAAGCCCAGATTTGAACCAATTGAAAAGGGGCTCTTAAGATTATTGATTTAGCGGATAAACCACATTCATGATCTCTCTTGTATGCTTCAGACTTTATAGCCTCGTCAAATTTTCCTTTCAATAATGTCAAATCTCTATAGATACTCGCTAGAACTACAGGTGCTAGAGCAATTCGGGTACCTCTAGCTAGATGTAATGCAATGGAAAAGTTTTGTTTGGAAATTATAGGAGGAAACACAAACCTTGACAGCCATAGCGACAGAAATGCCACGTGTTCTAACTCACTCTCCTCCTCCTCCTCCATGAAATGCCTTAGCCATGAAACATGTGTCGCCTTTTTGGCTTTTGTCTTTATCAATTTTCTTCTCACTTCATCTAATCTCTGTTCCATCAGCTTCGATTCTTTGTCTTTAACAGGTGTGAAAACATAGGACCCCATGACAGAATAGCCTCCACAAACCATGACATCGTCTAACGTTATCGTAGCTTCACCCCAAGCGAAGATAAAGCTGTTTGTCTCAGGATACCACCGTTGTGCAAGCCCAAGAACCAAATCATGGCTTCTTGGTATTCGGAATGTCGAAGATTTGATGGCTTCGAGTATTCCGGCATTTCTCCATACATTTTCGTACCTGGAACGAAGATTTTCTTCCCAGGTGTTCCACTGTTCTTGTGGGGTCAGCCATCCGGTGAATCTTGTCTGCGAAGATAAGATTTGAGACATGGAAATGGCGGTTTCGGAGAAGAGGGTTTTGGGAAGATGATCGGATTCTGGGTTTTGAATGCAAGCAGGTTTGAGAAAATGGGCCATTCTTAGGCTTTGTTTTTCACCTAACGGCGATACCATCAGCTCTGCTTCTCTTACTTCCATCTCCATTGAAGAAGAACCAAAATCGCTTGGAGACTGAAATAAAATGCGAAGAATCAGTGATCAGTGTTGGAACTTGGAAAGAGAGTTTCAAGGAAACTTGTACCACCAATCACCGAATCGTATGTACAGAAGTACAGATTTGTTCTGGATTGGGAACTCAAACGTTTGCCGCCTTATGTTTTATTTACGAGTATAATATCGCTGGTTTTCTTAATTTTTTGGAAAAACAATAGAAAAATACCTCCAAACAAGTGCTCAGGTGCCAGTACATGACAATAAACATTGGAATACTTCCTCCGGTACTATTTAAAGGGTTGATAGATAATATTTTTTTATTTTACTTATAAATTATCTCATTAAATTTTTATTGTAAACTCTCCCATTTGACCTCTATTAGATATTGAAGAGAGAAAATACATTGTTAAAGTTTATATGTTTAATAAAGGCAAAGTTGAGAAATTATTAAATTTCTAAATAGAGTTAATAAGTTTTAAAGTTTTACTTAATTATAGTAAAATTTATTAGAAGTGTCTTATAAATAAAAACGGAAGAGTACGATAATTACTTTTTAATTTTTGGGAACTTGCTTTGATTTTTTTTTTAATAAAATAACATAGGAGTATTTGATCATGCAAAGAAGTTTCTTTTTCTTGGTAAACAAGTAACTACTTTGTTTTAGAAAATGATGCTTAAAATTAGAAAGGAATAGAAAATTACAAGTTGCTCCATGCAAATTTAATTTTTTAATTAGTGAAGTCCAATAACTAAAATTAGTTACTACTTTTTTTTTTGGAAAATGACTATAACAAAATAATAAATTACAAGCTACTTTGTGCAAACTTTTTTATTAGTAAAGTCTAACAACTAAAAGTTGGCCACTATGTTTTGAGAAATGATTATTTTTTTTTTTGGAAAACATGACTAGAATAGAATAATAAATTACAAGTTATTATTTTCTAAATTTTTTTATCAATGAAATCCAATAATGAAAAATCAATTACTATTTAATTTTTTAAAAAATAACTACTTTTCTTGGAAAAATGAGTAAAAACAAAATAGAAAATTATAAATAAATTTTTTATTAGTGAAATCCAACAACTAAACATCAATTACTACTTTTCTTTTAGAAAATGATTAATTTTCTTAAAGAAGTGACTGGAATGGATTAGCAAATTACAAGTTGTTTTGTATAAATTTTTTTTTGAGCAACTTGTAATTAATGGGGCTTTTGCAAATATAGTCGATGTTATAAGACCAAATCAAGCAAATAACCTAGCATTTATTATATTTTATATCATGACTAGTTTATTATATTTATCAATAATATACAGTTATATATCAATAATAAGTCCTTATAAATTTTTATAATAAAATTCCTATATACCAATGTGAATTGGCCATACTTGTAAATTTTTAAAAGTTTGGCTCATATGTTTTTGGTACAAATTTTTTTTTTTGCTAGTGAACAAAAAAATGTAATATCACATGTAGGCATGCTCATCGTGCTTAAGTGGTGACAGGCCCATTCTTCTTTGGTCTTTATAAAACCCAACTATTTGTCCTCCTTTCTACACCAACTTCTCCCTTCAATCATTAAGGCCCTATTTGGTAGGTGGTATTGGAAGGGTGGGAGTAAGATTAGGATTGAGTTAACCTAATTTTACAACATTTGGTATAAAGGATTCTTGTTAATTGGAATTGTTGAAAATGACATAGGTAGGATTGGGCAAACCCATGGGGGAGTTGATATTGAAAATTTAATCCCAGGATTGAAACTTTTCATACCAAAATGCCCTCCTTTCTCCCATCACCATCTCTCCCATATCTCTGCCCTCACCCTTAACCCCATCCCTCACCATTCTCTCACTCAGTCTCAGGCGAGTCTACTATGACTGTCCCTAGCATTGGTGCCGTCCTCCACCACTAACAAGTTCATCTTCCTCCATTTTGTAATAACCTTAACAAAATTTAAAATAAATAAATATATAGGTTAACTTGCTTAAAGTGTGTTTATATTAGTTCTTAGGATAAATACAACAAGTTAGAGACTTGGTCTAGTGGCAGTTGAGCAATCTTTCATATATGAGGTCCCAAGTTTGAATTTGGAAGAGACCAAAAGAAGAGTTAAATTTTTCTTTTTTTTCTACGCGAAATTACCAAACTGCCCTTAGTTCCATCAAATTTTTAAACTCTTTCTTCCTTCTTTCTCGATTATTTTGGAACAGAGGGAGAGTTGAGAGATTTAGACTGAACCATTGCTCTATCACCGTCGATCTCTACCTTCTTTCGTCTCAACCACCGGTTGCACCATTGTTCATGTGAGTCAATTATCACCGACGTGAGCATCTATTGTCAATTTGTCCATAGCTAGTAGGAGTTGGAGCTCATTTTCTTGCTACTGAACGTCGACCAAGACCCCTTCATTCTTCCTTACTTCTAGCTCGCCATATACCACTGTGTGAGTCTGTTAGTGGGAAGGGAAGTACGTAGGACTCAGGGTGCTCGTTGGAGGCCTATTACTGAAATCTATTTCCCCTGTTCAGTATTCAAGAATTTTCTTTTCTTCCCTTTGTCCATCCGCCACTGTCCAGTGTAATTGAGCTTAGAGAGAGATCTGGGAAGCACCATCGTTCGCGTGGGTCACCGTTGACACTGCTGTTCATCCACCTTTGTCACTGATTCAACCCTTCTTCTTCACTGTTCAGAATTATTCTCCTTCCTCTGTCCATGCGTGTTGATTCATTTAAGGTTAGAAGCTTCAATCTCTTCCTTCTCATAAATCTGTGCATGTAAGTGGCTGGGGTGGTATTAAGGAAATTATAAATTTTTGTGTGTGTTCTGTTGTTGCCATAACCAAAGAAAAATATATATATATATATATATATACACACACACACATTAGTATTGAAGAATGATGGTGATATATATGGGTTATAATTTTGGAGTTAAATTGATTTTGTTGATTTGGTTGATGTTAAAAAAAATTTTTAGGTGAAATTGGAAGAGACAAACTTAGATATATTGTTGGTGCCTATGAGATGTCATTGAAAGGTTTGTATGAGGAAATAAAATTTAACTTCTAAATATTGATGGGAATTATTGGTTTAGAAATTCACCTGTAGATATGTAAAGGAATTTAATTATGGGCTTGTATGCAGTCATGTGTATATTTGGAGTTTGTTTGATTTTTGGTGAATTGTTGAAGGTTTAAAGTTGAAGTGGTAGAAGTAATGCACCTAAGGTAAGTGGTGCAAACATTGGGAGAAAACTCCTATTCCAAGAAAATAGAATGGCATGGCTAAAGTTTTATGAAGGAAGTTAGAGGAATGAATGATAATGCTTGAACTAGCTTTAAATCATAAATTTGGTTTTGAATTTTAGATGGTGATTGATAGAGATTGTATTATAAATTAAAAAGTTATTAAAATTTTATATGTTTATACTTTATAAGGTGTGTGGAAGAACAAGACCCTGATAAGAATTAACAAAAGAATACTTTTAGTAATTTAGAACTTCAACATGTAAGTGAATAGCATTCTTTATAATTATTTACTAAAAATATTTTATTGAAATATTTCATTTTTATGAATTATGTTAGTTTTAGAAATTTTGAAACAATGATGAAGGATAGTTACATTATGATTTGTGTTTTTTTAAGAAATATATTTTTAATGTTGATGAAGGAACCTTTGTTTATTGAATTTCAAAATTTCTTAGTTACATGATTAGTTCAAGGTTGTACATTCACTATGATATATCAATTTGGCAAGTTTCATATATTTGAAGCAATTCATGTGAGTTTGATCTTGAGAATGAAAATTTGACTTCAAAATAATTATTTTTCTCACATGTTTGAAACGAGATTTCTAAGAGAATTTTATACAGAACACTGCTGCTAATGACAGTTCCGTTAGCCTGTAGCGCACTATGGTTAAATACTAGTAAGTTTGTTTCATGAGCCTTACTCTCACATTTGGTATTCGTGGGCTTTGTACTTGCATTTATTTTTGTGGTATAAGCCGCGTTTGGTTATTTACCCTCGTGGACTGTGTGTCCACGTTTGTTTTGTAACTTTGGCTGTATTTGATTACTTGCCCTCGTGGACTGGTGTGTTCGTGTTTGTTTTCATGGCATAAGTCGTGTTTGGTTATTTACCTTCGTAAACTGTGTGTTCACATTTATAACTTGTTCTATTGAGTTCTCAAAATTTTACATGTTGATTAAAGTGTTTTCCAAATTTACATGATTTTGGCCAACAATTTTATCACTTTAAATTATATGTGAGTAAATTGTTTCCTTAAGCATTATAGCATAAATTCTTTTCAACTTATTTCTATTTTACAATTAAGGTTATAACTTATAGGTTTATAAAAATTTGAGGGATTATTTTAATTAGTTGGCACTATTATTAGAGTTGTTGATTTTAAATTTTAAGAATTTTACCATGAGAATGCTATTTACTGGAAAACTTATTTTGGTCTCAGATTTGTTAGCTAACACTGATTCCCCTTGACCTCTGAAGGGCAACCTAGCTACAGTGGGTGGAAAATTTTCATTGGTACTGTTGCTTTTAATGTAAATATATAATTTGTATGTCTTTTTGATTTAAAAGATAGAGTAGATGCTCCACATAGATTGTT